TTTGCATTATACAATTCACCGACATTTCTTTCATCACTCATTTAAGAAACGAAATTTCTTCTTTATTTTATAATATTTTCTTTCTTCCTTTTTCCTAATTTTTTAAAAGTTAAGAAATCTGTGATTAATGAGATTAAGCATTCTTAAATTTTATCTATTGATTTCTTTTTATAAAAAGACAAAAAAAAAATTATAACTTTAGTTTATCTCTTAATTGAAAATAGCAAAATTAAACAGAAAATCCTGAAAAAATTTAAGATAAAAATTAATTAAGAAATACTTTTTTTTTAATAAAAGGAACTGTCATGTTAAAGTAACTAACTCTTAGGATAAGTTTTAGTATATAGATAATCCTCATTCGTGCCTAATTTAGAAAGATACACAAAGGTCTAATTAGAACTGTGACTCAATAACATTTGTCTTTACAATTCATTGAAAGTTTGATTTCCCTTGCGTAAAATCTGCATAGATAACCAGAAATTTATTACACTTACATAATTTCCTGTAAACAAAATTAAAAAAAAAAAAAAAAAACATTTATCGATTTGTATCAAAGTTTTTCAACCCCCTCCAACCATTTCTTTTACTCCTACGACAAACAGCATCTTACACTAATTTGCATCTTCAATCTAACTTGTATCGTTGAAAATCTAAAGAAAATCTAAGATAAAGTAAATTTATACATATATTTTACAAGATTTAACATAATTTAACACTTTCTAAGCTTAAAAATATGGAATTTATAAACATATTTATCATTTATATATACTTAAACTATATATATATACAAGCACACACGTTGGATGTTCGAATATATATATATATAAGGTATTGTAGCAAACCATAGATTAACATTAGCATTAATTTAACTCTCCAAAGTCAACTGATTATATTATAATTCTGTTTACAAAATAGCCGCATGCTAATTGCTTAGGAATTTCGAATGATTGTCAGAAGATGACGGTTGACGTGATTTGAATGTATCGATTAAACGTAAGATCGATAAGCAGATAAAGTGACAACTTTCTCGCTTCTACACAGTAAAATATCATTTAAAAATTTAATAAAAAAAAAAAAAAAATAAATAAATCTACACAGTAAAATATCATTTAAAAATTTAATAAAATATCAAAATATATTATCTTTAACATCTATAAAATACATATACACAAAAAATATTTATATTTAATAATAAAAATTAAACAGACAAAGTGATAAAGTTTGTTTGCTTAGAAAGAAAGTTGAGACTTTACGCATTAAAATATTATTAAAAATTTAGTGAAATATTTAAAAATATAATGTTTAAAATCTATAAAATATATATTTATGGAGAAATATTTTCATTTGACAATGAAAATTAAATATTAAATGCGGTATGTTCCTCAGCCTTCAGCGAGAAAATTATCATTTTATACGCTAAATTATCATTAAAAATTAAATAAAATATTAAAAAAAACATAATACTTAAAACGTATAAAATCAAGAAAATTTCACATTTTAGCAATAAAATAATTGTAAATAGCGATAAAATTAATCTTTCCAGCGTATAATTAATGTCAGATTTCCTGCCAAAAATACAGCAAAAAAAAACGGTTTCATTTTTCATTTTTTTAACATAAAAATATCTTATTTTACACCGTTAAATAAATACTTAATAGAATTATTATTATAAAGTTTAAACTTTAAAAAAGAAAATTTATATTCAAAAAGTGAAAATCTTGAATAAAAGACAGGTCAAGAAAATGAAATGTTAACAAAAATATCAAAGAAAAAGTTAAAGGTTTTAGCTATAGAAAGTCGTTTGTGTCACGAAGAGTACAAAGAATACGAGATGATAATTGTATCATAAATTCGCAGACTCCATTTCTCAAGTGGTGAGAAGCATATTCTTTGACAGCAAAGTACCGCATGCTTTTGTAGATGCTTGACGAGATGTTTCTTCATATTTTCCCACCATTAATCATTACGTCCAAAACCGTGAAACGTTTCATTCGTCTGTAAATTGATTGAATTTTTGTCGTACAATACTCAACGTTAGCGATACATAACGTATCATCTACTATAAAAAATCATATATCAAAA